AATGCACAGTTATTTTGTTTGTGAGAAATTCAGTTTATGGGATGTCAAAACAGGATAATAAAAAGCCAAATTAGAAGGTCATAGTGACTATGTTATGTCAATCTGTTTCTCTCCTGATGGAAATACATTAGCTTCTTGTAGTGAAGATAAGTCTATCCATCTATTATATCAAAAACAAGTATTGTTCCGATTATAGATTTATAGAAATTTAGGTTAAAAATGCTAAATATCATTTTTTAACACACTTTTTAAGAAAAATAATATATACATAATTTAGATACATCTAATAATATGGTTTACCCAAACTTCAATTTTTAATTTTTCAAGGTTTAAGAGAGTTTTATATAAAAAACCGTTTCCTTTTAAGAGAATTATTGGAGTAACACTTGATTAATTTAAAAAACTAACCTATATTAACCCTTAATTCAAATCTATTTTAATATACTTCTTGTGTCCAATGTTTGTTGATAGAGTTCTATTTTATAGTTTTTTTACTTTTTTAACAATCTTGAAGCATTACTAAAATGGAAATTAATTTAGCACATTTTAAATATTATGAAATAGAACCTTTAGTTACATGAATGCAATAATATCTTAAATCTTTGTATACTGTTATTTTGGTATTATTCTTATCATTACCAAGCATTTTCTCTCAATTTATATTTAGAATGTGAATTGTAAAAGATTTATAAAGTAGATAAAGTAGATTCTACAACCAAATCTTTCGACATTTATCATTTCTAAGTTTTCTAATCTTCGTATTTCTTGAGAGTCAATATATTCAATTTCATAAATTAATAATTTTCTCAACTCAGATTTAATTACAGCAGGTTGAGATATTTTTTGATTTTCTCTAAACAAACATTAAAAAATTTTATTATATTTGTTTGGTCATTCAGTTTCTATCCTGATGGAAATAGATGGATATATATATATCCATCTCTTGTTGTAAAAAATAAGTATTCTCCAGAAGTTACTTCGGCATTGTAGTATAAAAGGTCAAGATATCTGTTTTTAACCCTTTCTTTTCCAGGTTTGGGTTTGGGTTTGGGTTTGGG